CTCTCTCTCTCTCTCTCTCTCTCTCTCTCTCTCTCTCTCTCTCTCTCTCTCCCTCTCCCGCTTTCTCTTTTATATCTTGCTCTCTCTCTGTCGATCTTCTCTATCTCTATCTTTGCCTCTGTCTACGTTCTGTCTGTCTATCTGTCTGTCTGCCTGTCTGTCTGTCTGTCTCTCTCTCTATCTCTCTCTCTCTCTATCTATCTATCTATCTATCTATCTATCTATCTATCTACCTACCTATCTATCTATCTATCTATCTATCTATCTATCTATCTATCTATCTATCTATCTATGTATCTGTTTATCTTTCCCCCTCGAAGTACTACATTTTAACTGTGTTTCTCCAAATGAGAACTTGGTGCTTAGGCTTTTTCTGTAAACCCATAGAGTTACCCTCTTTTAAACCTATAGTGTAGATCTACATCTATGTGTAAACCACATCTCTTGAAACCTCGACCATTTTATTTTATGGTATACTTCGCCTGTTATGTAAACAATCCTGACAAATCGATGTCGTAGCCAGTCGTTTATAATACTATTTAAAAAAACCCTTTCAGCCTCTTCCTTGTAGAGTAAATCAATTGAAAAAAAAACAACCCAGAAATACTTCTGTAAGGCTGGATCAAAAGAAACCGATATTTTCTGGGCCCTGTTCCACAGTTTTACTACATTTTAAGTGTGAACTGTGGTTCTGTATGCTTAACCTCCGTAATTCCATGCTTGATTACACCTTATTTTCAAACCTCAACGGAAAATGTACAAACGTATAGATTACATTGTACTTTGATAACCCGACGGACAAACTCTAAATCTGGTTCTAAAGAAAATGATCGTTTCCTTGTCCTATTTCATTTTAGTTTTACTATAGCTTAAACTGTATTCCTGCGTTGGCTACTAAATTCATTTTTTCATACTGCAAAATCGCCCCTAAACCTCGACAAAGATATGCTTTTATAAACGTATGCTCGGTAAACATGGATAAATCCTGAATCTGGTTCGAAAGAAACGGGTATTTGCCCGGCCCTATTCTACTTTTTTTTCCTTGCTGTTTCTTTTTTTTCCTTCCTCTTCTTTTTGAATCATTCCGATCATCGCGAGAGTCCCCGAAAGAAGAAGGCAGACACACGTGCGAGAGGGAGGGGAAGCTACTGTGATTCGTGGTGTGTATGAGTAGGTTCTCGTGTCGGTGGATGGAGGGAGGTGTGGGAGGGAGAGTGAGAGAGGAGGGAGCCAGGGGGTGAGGGGGGGGAGTGAGAGTGGAGGGAGCCAG